TGTTTGTAGTGAAAGTGATTCTTTCTCTTAACTTTTTAGTTTTTGGGAGGTTTGTTTCTAGAAATCACTTTCCATGGCCAAAGACATCAATGCAGATGGTGGAGGCAAGGGCTGAGGCTGGTTTGTATTCAGCTGACATCTTTTTCTTGAAGAAATCGTTGCAGATAACAAATAAGCAAGTCTGGAAAATTGTGGAGATCTCTTTTTTGATTTCTTGATTTTAAATGTAGCGCTTATCATTATGTATTTTTGCTAATCTAGAGTATTTACCCTGTTCATTTGTTGCTTCTCCTCTGTTATCTTCTCACTCCTTTCCCTTTGTAATTTCTGACAATGCCCTGTTGCAGAATACCAGCTATTGTTTAATGGATGCTTCATGAAGAATAAAATCTAAACAATTCTTGTTAACAGGGAAGGCTAAGAACACACACATGCACGCACACACGCACACACACACAATTATATAGCACTACATATATACACAAAAATATAAAACACTATGTATATGCATGTATTTGTATTTGTGCAGATATATACAATAATATAGTATATGTATATGCATATGTGTGTGTGTAACTATGCAATTGAAGAAATCTTGTGCTTTAGTCTGAAAGTTGACATGGAGCATGTTGTTTTTTGTATCCATACTCACCAAAAGCTGGTGCCCATTGCAAAGATTTTGCTATTAGATGATATTGAGAGGAAACAGTCAATTTGTTAATTTACACATACATAGATTCCATTTTGGTGCTGATAAAGAAGAATGAGGGCATAAGTTACAACCTTAGTAGACTCATTTGAGCTGATTCAAAGGGGCCCAAGGCTAGAAAAGAGAGCAAAGAGAAAGGGGCAGGAGGTGAAATGAGAACATTTCTGCTTGAGTTCCTCTGGAAGAGCTTAATTAGAGTCCTTGCTTGGTGTTTGACTCTGTGCTAAGTGCTTTACATTGATTCACATGTCACGTGAACCCTTTGAGCTAGGCATTGCCAATATTGCTATTTTCAAGATAAAAATCTGAGGGTATGAGAGATTCCGTACCTTGCCCACAGCCATGCAGCTCATACTTGAAGAAGCTGAAGCAATCTGATTCCAAGCTCACTTGATTAAGCTCTAAAGCCATCCTGAGGTTGGCAGCTCCTAGAACACAGATTCTCTAAAGTACAAATGTACACTTTTTGGAGTCTCAGCCTAATGAGGATTAGGGTTGGACTAAATGTGTGTGTAAGTGCTTCAGGAACCACATGGGAGTGTGTGCATTTTGGGGAGCCAGCCATAGCACTAACGTAAGTATAGTGCTGCACCCTGATCCAAACAATAAAGAGAGAGAGGGAGGCAGGGAGAGAAGGAGAGAGGAAGGAAGGAAGGAAAGAAGGAAGGAAGGAAGGAAGGAAGGAAGGAAGGAAGGAAGGAAGGAAGGAAGGCTAGGCATTGCCAATATTGCTATTTTCAAGATAAAAATCTGAGGGTATGAGAGATTCCGTACCTTGCCCACAGCCATGCAGCTCATACTTGGAAGAAGCTGAAGCAATCTGACCCAAGCTCACTTGATTAAGCCTAAAGCCATCCTGGAGGTTACAGCTCCTAGAACACAGATTCTCTAAAGTACAAATGTACACTTTTGGGAGTCCTTTACCCAATGAGGACTAGGCTGACCAATGCAAGCAAGCCCAGAACCACATGGGAGTGTGTGCATTTTGGGAGCTAGCCACTAACGAAGTATGAGTGCTGCACCCTGATCCAAACAAATGTTATATATATATATGGTATAATGATATATAATACAATGAAAGCATGGCTGAATAATAATGAAGGAATAAGGCTAAATAAGCTCAAAGTGTACATGAAGAGATACAAAGGTATATATTTTATAAGATAAACAATTAAATAATCGATGTCACAGACAAGGAGTTTAAGGACACTCGTGAAAGGTGGTAAAAGAATCAATGAGCTTCAACAAATAACCAGAGACAGAAGACTCGTACACAATCAAATGTCCTAATCCTGTTAATCAAATCTTCGATCATCTGCTCTGCTATCTTCAACAAGAATCTCAAATGGATGAACACAAATCACTGACAACTAAAGAATCCAGACTCAAACTAAATAACTACATGTCAAACACGTCCGTCTCCCATCCACAACATCCACCAACACAACTAACCTGACTGCCCCGCGCGGGAAGACTCCTCGCCGCATGCTGGGTAGGAAGGAAGGAAGGAAGGAAGGAAGGAAGGAAGGAAGGAAGGAAGGCAGAAGTAAGGAAGGGAAGGAGGGAGGCAGGCAGGCAGGGAGAGACGGAGGGAAGAGATAAAACACCAGCTTGAATCAGATGTCACTTGCAGATAAGGTGAGTTTTAAGGACACCTGCAGCTGCAGGTAAAAGAAAACCCAAAGGAGCTCAATAAATAATCCAGAGATAGGGAGACCCTGTGTTTAGTTAATTCAAAGGTTCGATCCTCAACAAAGACCCAAATTCTTTCGATTTATCTGCTCTGCTATCTTCAATTATGAACTTTGCCTTTAAATGATGCTCCTCAAGGCTAAATCAGTTTGATAATTCACATCTAGATTTAAATACATTCAGAGAAAGAAGACTGTCTGTTTTGCTGTGTTCTTAAGGGTAAGGAAACCTTTCTAGAACCCCCATCAGTTCTTGCTTGTATCAACAAAAACAGATCACAGATCTACTTCTAGATCAGTCTCTGGCAAGTGGAAGAGACCCCCGTTGCATATGTTGGCCCTTAGAGATAGATGGGATCCTGGTTAAACATCATGACCCCTCTGCAGCACTTGATCATAATACATTTGTGCCCATGCCAAAGAGGCCATCTCTGCTAAACATAGGAACCTATTGACTGCATTACACCTGAGAAAAGGGATCTAATGTCCAACTACCCAAGAGTAGCGGTCCCATGAGAAAGAGTGTGTAATTTAGGAAAGCACAGCTTTGTGTGTTGTGAGTCAATCTCCCTCAATACCTAGGGCCTTTGCACATTTATTTGTACATTGGAATTGGAGAGGTATCAATAGAGGCAAAGCCTCTGCCCTAAAGGACTTTAAATTCTAATGGAGGTGGGGAAGCAGAGACAAAAAAAAAAATAGAACAACCATATAATGTATAAGGTGGCCAACAGTACTATAAAGATAAAATAAAGGGTGACAAGGAAATAGAATATAACAAGAGATGTACATCCTTCCTTCTAACTGGAAAGATCTCTTCCTCTTCCCAGGCTACTCGCCCACCTAAGATAGCTTCTGTTCTTCTTCCAGGTGTAGGTTTATGCGTCAATTCTTCATGGTCTCTCTGTCTTCTGGATCTCTCCTTTCTCTTCAATGAATTTCTCCTTCTTATTACCAGAATTTCAGTTTCCTAAATGTCCATGTGATTGTTTAGTAGATCCTCTCAAGATCATGAAAACCTTAAGAACTACGAACTCAGTCTATTTGCTCAAGATTCTATCTCCAGCAATGAGCTTATTGTTTAGCACATAGGAGGCACCCAATACATCATTTTTGAGTGATGGAATGAGAAACTAAAAAAATAAAAACATGATAGTGTCTTTTCTTGGGGCCACAGAAAATAAATATCTGTCCTAGGGGCCACTGGCTCCTACCTAGTAGGACATATTGCATCTCAGGCTGATGCAATTCTAGTTTTCCTGCTCTGGACAAGTTATCCAGATTCACATGTCTTCCCTGCCAATAGATGAATTTAAAATATGTAAGCTACATATTATTCTTATATCCTGTCCTTAATTGGGTAACAGAAGTGTTTTACTTTTGTGCAGCTTGTACCCCATTGTGACAGCACAGGAAGCACAAAATTCTATCTTTCCCTAGGGACATGATTGAAAAAGACTCTAGAGAATAGAATTGACAGCCAAGACTTCGTAACACCCTCGACCAAGAAAACTATATCCCACACATGGCTTCTTTGTGTATAGCAAGCCAGCAGAAAATAATATTGCATATGTGGGAAAATGAACATATTGATTGTGTTTGCTGCTCCCGGATACATTTTGTTTCAGGCATAAAAGACAGAAAGGAAGTTATGGTTCACTGAGTGTCTATGTTGTGCTTGACACTTTTAATGAAAATATTAATGATAGAAAATAAGGTTGAGTGCTTGCCTGCAAGATCTCATTCAGTTTTTATAATGCTTTGAGGGCTATCCTATTATGATTCCCATTTTACAGAAGAGAAAACAGAGGCTTAAGGATGGGAAGTCACTTGCCTGTGATCACATGACAGATGAGAAATCAGGATGGAATTTAAACCAGGTCAGACTGTTTCCAAAGGGTTTGGTAAATCTCCAAACTTACTCCCTTAGTTTAAGTTCTCCAGGAAACAGACTCAGAAAGAGCTTGAGTGTAGGTAGTTTTTGTGGGGGGTGATCTCTGGAGGCAGGCGTGAAGGAGCTGGGAGAGCAAGGCAAGAAGGTAGGAAACACCAGCATAAGGGTGCTTGCTGTGGTTTCAGGTCTCAACTCTGCAGGGTCTCTGAGAGACCACAGCAGTTACTACCACAGGCTTCAGTCCCTCCCTAGGCGAATGTGCCCCTAAGGGTGTTAATTCAGGATGTGTCTGAAGAGGGCTGAGTAGACTCCAGAGAATCTGAAAAAGACTTTGAGTCAAAAAGCAGAAAGAAATGCAGCAAGTGCATGAAATAGGTGCCGTCAGCATGAGTCTCATGAACTGGACTCCACAGCTGCAGCTGAGTGTGCAGGTGGCCTGAGGGATGCGGTACCGGCCACTGACACCAACAACTCTGTTACACTCATTCTAGCTCAAGTTCTTTTTCTCTCTTCTTCACCACGACCTTGTGAGTTAAGAACTCTGTTTTTAACTTTCCAGCTGGAAAGGTTGAGGCTGTGAATTGTCAATGACTTGCTAGACGGCACACAGTAAACAGTGCCCTTGGGACCTCTGTTTAGAGGAAGACCTTCACATTTGGCTTGCTTTCTATTGTGACTCACTGTTCAACTAAGTTATGAACAAGGCTCGATGCACAAGGATGAAAGAAATCAGATTCAAGAAAGCCCAGTCTTCACCCATGGACAGCTGAGAAAGGCATGAGACAGGAATATTATAATTCATCTATAAGAAAGTGCTCATCTAAAGGAGAAAATGCTAGCCAGACTTCCTCTGAGACACAGCCAGGTAAGCAGGAGAACATCATTGTCTTTAGAAACAAAGGAGAGCTTACAGTCTCTTTTGACATTTTGTATAATCTTTATATTTATAAATTTATATATTATAAACTTATATCTATAAGTTTTATTTGTTATGAATATATATCTCTATATTATACATTTATAAATATATTTTTTAAGTTCACATTCATTTATACTATCTTCACAATATAAACTTTGACATCTTATCAGTCCTCAGAGGTCTGCTTGGAGTACTGGAGAAGACACTAGGTGTTTTGTCTGCTTTTTAATCAGTGAATGGTCTCCAAATTAATATCTATGTATATGTATATATTTATATTCAGTAAGAGTCATTTGGGGGACGGGCATCCTATGCATAATGTTTGTGGATCTTCTTCTCTTTCTCCTTCAAAGAATCCCAGCTAATGTGCAAAAAAAGATTGAGCAACCCATGCTCCTGTAGGTTTCTAGTTTTGTCTTCACACTCTGAACAAGGAAAGAAAAGACTTCAGGCAAGTCTCTAGGTTTCAATCATCCAGGAAGCAATTCTGGGTGATAATAAGAGAGACTAGCAAAAAAGGGGGAAAGAGGGGAAATTACTGGCTTGGTCAAAGCTTGCAAAATGGCACCAGTGATTAAAACATCTTATGCTGTCCTCGGGCTGCAGAAGCTATCACTGACAAAAGAGCTCATACACACACACACAAAAGGAAAGAAATTAGCCATTAAGAAATATTTCAGCATAATGCAATTATTACAGCTGTATAATTGAATGGGGAAACCATTGATCTGTAGTAGAAAGGAAATTGCTCTTCTCATTGTGTTCCTATGAATATGTGAACATTAATCTCCATCTATAATCAACGTTCATTTCAAATCTGATTGCATGCTACTAAACACCCGTAGCTATGCTAACATTATGTTAATATGGTTCAACATCATAGCTCCCAGCTTCACAGCACAAATATTTTTCTTTGGCAATCAATAGTAATTTCAGCTGAGTGGATGGAAGTCACGTTTTAATGGTAATCTTTCCTCCAAGCCTCCAAGTGGAAACTCAGTTGGTGTCTTAACATGGCTGCAGCGTGTTGCATATAATCAGATAAATTAACCTGAAAAGAAATAGAGAGAGAGGAAGGAAGGGAGGGGACACGGATCAGAAATAAGGAGGAAGCTCGGCAAAACTCTAGCTAATAGATGAAAGTGTACATTAGGTAGAAAAAGAGTGAGGATGAATGGGTAGATGGAACAGAGTCAGTATGTGTCGGAGGGGCATGCACGAAGGGAAATGGGGTTGTTAAGAAATGAGAGTCTGTTCCTTCTGGCTATAAGTCAATGGGATGGGATGGAGAAACCAGGTTCCTGTGAAATCTGGATTTTGCCAAAGCAACCAAGATACATGAGGAAGGAATAGGAAACTTAACAAACATGGGTGGATGGCATACAGCGTCCTCTCTGCTTGGAAGAGATCACTCAGATATCTCTTCCTTCTCATATCCATTCACACGTTCATTTATAGGCAACAATAGAAAATATAGAAAATTTTATAAATTTCTGTCTCTATAAAACATACAGATAATTTTGAAAGTGAAAAAAATTTGTAAGGGAGAATCTACCTTTTATTTTTAAGCACTGCTACTGCTGGACACCAAGAATATGAAGATGAACGAATCTCATCTCTGGGCACTAAGAGTTGACGACCCAGAGTGGGAGAAGAAAGACAAACAACTCACAGTATCAACCCACATCTCCCAGGAGCCTCCTCCTTCCCCTGACCATAATAATCCTCTCCCTCCACGTTTTTTTGTAAGAAGAGAGAGAATAGGGAGAAGTATTTTGGTTACATTCATTCCTCAAGCACTTTTTTCAGCCCCAGAGGCCTAAATGATGGAAATTCTCAGACACGATCATTGGCTCCACTCTCACGTCCAAGGCCAATGCCCTCCACAACCCCTGTTTTTTTACATACCTTGTCTAAGACTGAAATCACAGGCTCCTTCTGTGACAAGAATCAAAGTTACAACCTTTATGTGTGCGGGTTGTTTACAAGAAGGCAAAGGAAAATAAAACCTAAGTATTCTCAACCTCTTCACCTGCTCCTTCAAGAGAATTCTGGAGTCGTCGCTTCGCTTCACAGCTCCCCCAACCCCTGGTGCTCTCCTCCCTGGCTCCTGTTTTGGAGATCCGGGGAAGAGAACATTCTCCTAAGGACAGCAGGGTATCCATTGATATAAGAAAAGAAATTCGGAGGTGAGGGGACAATGAACCAATGAGACAGCACAAGGAGGACACTGCAGGACAAAAGACCATTATTATTCTTTCCTTGTTTGAGGAGTTCAGAAACAGGAGAAAAATCCTGAAAGAGAAACTGCCAAGGATATAGAAAATACTGAAAACGATGGTTATAGGGAAACAGATTTGTTTCCTTGTTTGTTTGAAACAGATTTTTTTGTTTTGAGGCTGGAGTGCAGTGGCACAATCTCGGCTCACAGCAGCCTCCGCCTCCCAGGTACAAGCGATTCTCCCGCCTCAGCCTCCTGAGTAGCTGGGATTACAGGTGACTGCCACCATGCCCAGCTAATTCTTTTGTATTGTTGGCGAGGCTGGTCTTGAACCCCTGACTTCAAGTGATCTGCCTGCCTCAACCTCCCAAAGTGCTGGTATTACTGGCGTGAGTCACCACACCCGGCTAGGAAACAGAATTTTAAAAGCTTTTTCTATATATTTTGCAGTTGGTCCCACTCTGTCATTCTCTAAAGAGACCTCAGTTAGAAAATTAATATCCTTTTCCTATTTGTTTTGCTCTTTATAATCCCGAAGTGAGTAAAGATTTCCATTGCTTTTCCCTATTTATTTTTTATAATTTCAAAATGTCTTTTGTAGGATGACAGTAATTATGATTATTATCAAATCGAATTTACATAACAATATCAGGAACTATTCAGGTTCCTGTCTCAAACCCATCCCTCTCTTTTTATCCCTAAAACTCTTGCCCACCTTTAATCTTCTAAGTTCTGCTTGAATTATTGCATCTGCCTCCTCCTGTCCTCACTAAACCCAGTGTTACTCCCTTCTCATCTGTCACCTACAAAATAGCCAATAAAGCTAGCACAATTGGGCACAATTTTTAAGACATTTGAAAATTAAGGATCCACACCATGAAAACAGGACTATATTTTTTCAGCCATGTTTAAAGTCACGCAATACCTTATGAAGTACTACTTCATAAAATTTTACTAAACTTATTGTTAAATGTATAGAAGCTTATTTTGAGTTTTATTGCTTATTAGCAAGGCCAGAAAAAAAAAATAATTGGGGAACTGTTCAATCTTCCAACCATAAGAAAAACAGCTAAAATAAGACACTGAAAACAATATGGCAACAAATAAAAATACATTCCTTTGTCAGCAGATTCTGTTAGAAGATGCAGAGAAAAACCTTGCTGAAGATTTGATGAGTCAAGTGTTAAAAGAAATTATTTGGTGTGTGAGGTTTGCTATCCAGTTGGGTGCAAGTACAGATGTTTCTAACATTTCTTTCCTTATGGTATTTGTCACCTGAACTGCAGAATATTTTTTTCTTTTATACTGAAGAGTACATGTAATGGAGAAGAAATATTTTAGCAATAAATAACTTCATTATGAAAGCAATATTTTATAAAATAACTGGAAGTGGATCTATCAATACAGTGGCTGATTGACTGGAATTTAGTTTTTAAAACTGTCCAAGTCAGATTACAAAGATCGCTTTGGACATAAAATTCAAATTGCATTATCGTGTCTATAGCCAAAGTATTCTTTGAAGCTATAAATGCACAAAAATAAATAATTATATGTTGTCATCAACAGGCTTAATTTTATAAGAGAAGATCTTTAAAAAGCAAGAGAATATTTATAAGGACGTAGCATGACATTAAAATTATTTGTTTAATGTAAAGAAGAATTTAAAAGAGCTGCCAGATTTGAAGTTATCTATTTTTCTTTTATAAAATGACAAGTATGGCCTGGTGGAGTGGCTCACGCCTGTAATCCCAGCACTTTGGGAGGCTGATGCAGGAGAATCACGAGGTCAGGAGTTTGAGATCAGCCTGGGTGACATGGTGAAACACCATCTCTACTAAAAATACAAAAAATTTGCTGGACATGGTGGTGGGCACCTGCAATCCTAGCTACTCAGGAGGCTGAGGCAGGAGAATCGCTTGAACCTGGGAGGCAAAGGTTTCAGCGAGCCAAGATTGCTCCACTGCACTCCAGCCTAGGCGACAGTGCAAGACTCCATCTCAAAAAAAAAAAAAAAAAAAAATTGACAAGTATTCCAAGTTTATTGAATATTACTTTCTGCCATGGGAGTGCCTTTCAGTATAATGTCATCTGGCAGATAATTAAATGGTAATAGTAGCAATGATGCTAATAATAGTAAATAGTAATAAATATAATCTCTCATTTCAAGATTAAGGTGACATTTTAAAAATGTGGAACAAATATCTACTATGTAAATGGAGCAGCCTATGGAGAGTGTTTCAAAATTGGATATTTAAAAATATTTCCTTTGTTATAAGATTTTATTGCCGAAAACAAAACAAATGCATTAGTTACAAGAACATTCATATATACATTCCTTAAAATATATAAACAGCATTGTTTAATCTGCATAAAAGTCTCTAAACAAAACATTGTCATGGAACTTGAAATTTCTGCATTAACATATGGGGAAACACTTTCCTATTCTTTATAAAACCACTAATTGACATTACTGAGGATAGATATTTTCTAGATTGCAATAGAAACTGTTGCACAAGAGATGCATAAAAGGAAATGGGAAAAATAATGATGATGATGAGGTAAGCAGAGCCTGGGTGTCTTCTTTTGCGTTTTGGTCTGTGTGCCTTTTCCACTGATCTATTGCTTTGTAACAAAGCACGCCTGAACTTTATCATTTTCTCACACAGTCATGGTGTGTGACCTCAGCTTAGCAGTTTTTGCTTTGGGTCTCTGGTGCAGTTGCAATCAATGGGGCTGGAATTATCTGAAAGGCTTAACTGTCTGATGCCTTGTCTGAGGTGACTAAAGCGGCTGAAATGTCTGGGTGTTCATGGGGCATCTCTCTCTCTCTCTCTCAGCAGCCTTTCCCTATGGCTAGCTTGTCTCCCCTAAAGCATGGCCGGTCCAGCACACTCAGATTTCTCCCATGATGTCTGCTTTTCCCTAGAGTGAGAGTTCCAATGGACAGACGCAAATGGGTCTCTGAAGTTCGTTCCCTCCCTTCCTTCCTTCCTTCCTTCTCTTCCGACAGTGTCTCACTCTGTCCCCAGCTGTGTGATCTCGGCTCACTGTAACCTCTGTCTCCTGGGTTCAAGCGATTCTCTTGCCTCAGCCTCCCAAGTAGCTGGAACTAAAGGCGTGCACCACTATGCCCAGCTAATTTTTGTATTTTTAGTAGACACGGGGTTTCACCATATTGGCCAGGATGGTCTCGATCTCCTGACCTCATGATCTACCTGCCTCGGCCTTCCAAAGTGCTGGGATTACAGCTGTGAGCCACCATGCCCGACATGAAGTTTCTTATAACATACACTTGGGAGCCCCAGAAAGTTACCTTCACCGTTCTATTGGTCAAGATCTCTAGGACAAGTCCAGATATAAGAGAAAGGGAATTAAACTCAAATTCTCAATGCAAGGAGTATCAACAGTACACAGAAAGAAGGAAGTGAAGACAGTTACCAACTTCTGTATGAATTGGCAAAAATACCGTATCTAATAGCACCTGCTACTGTTCTAGCATATAATCAGTGTTTCGATAATGTAAAGAACATGCAGTTAAGTACTCTTTAAAACTCAAGCCTAGCTTATGTGGTTATGATGACTGATTCCTTTTCCTGTTTGCTTTAAGATGCACAGCCTGACAGGGTTTTTGTTGTTTTCTCTTTGGGGAACAGAATACTAACAGGTCATGTTTATTGAGCATTTCTGACATGCTGAGCTCCTTTCACAAATGATCAAATTTGATCCCTTCCACAAACCTTTTAGGTAGGTAATCTGTGACATTGAATTCTGCAAACAAGAAGAGTAAGGCTTGGAGAATTTTGTGACTTTTCCTGGATTACATAGCACATAAGTAGCAAATGAATGAGAATAAACCAATTTAGCTAATAGCAGTGACTGAGCTCTAAACTGCTATGTACTAGAAAAAAATCTGCAAATATAAATATATTAAATTATATTTTATTACATATTTCATGAATTATAATTTTTAATTTTTACTAATTTTGTATATTTTTATCCTACTTTATTAAAATGTTACACATAATAAATTATGGTATATTCTTTCTATGGAATACACTGTAACTATCACAAAGAATGAGGTAGGTACCTATTTATATTTTGAAAACCAAGTTACAGATATATAGATACATGCACACAGACAAAATACACACACACTAATGTGTATACAGAGAAAGAGAAAATTTCCACAATAAGATACATCAGAAACTGTTACATGTAGTTAACACTGGAAAATTGGATTTGAATTTTTTGACAGAACTCCATATTCTTTTTCTTTTTACTTTATTATTTAGTGTCATAGCAGATGCTGTCCTCTCCATGCCCATATTCCCTCAGCTCACCCCTAAGATTCCTTACAGCCTTGCCTACAGTTCCGGTATACAATATAGGACTTTATATGTATGACTGTGGCTTCTGCCCTCAAGTCCGGCATAGCTTTAGTCTCTTTCTCTCTCTCCCTCACTCACTTGATCTCTATGTCTCCCTACCCTCTATTATCTCTTGATAGATAGATAGATAGATAGATAGATAGATAGATAGATAGATAGATATAAGATAGATAGATAGATAGATAGATAGATAGATAGATAGATAGATATATTTCTCTTGCTGTGCTGGCTTAGGGCAGATCAGCAGTGCTTGGAAACAAACCTCAACCAATGAGGGACGGCAGTTATGGATACATTCTCTGACCTCTGAGTGTGTCCTCTTCCCAGCATGTCCTCTTCACAGTCTCTCAAGGGCCCCAATGGGATACAGCACCATTTGCCCCCAGAAGTGTCCCTGTCCTTGTGCACCCATCCTTTGCTAT